AAGGAGCGAATGCAACCATTTTGGTTGGTTATTAAGCTAAACTGCTCCTTGAATAAGAGCATCGTCATAATAACACGGTATGGGGCCTCGAACCTCGAAGGGCCAGCGTTGCAAATGCCAATGGCTTTCCTGTTTTCAACAAATGACAAGTTTTGCTGATGTAAATGCGCGTGGAGTGATTACCATAGGCACTTGATAGGGAATGGTTGCTTAGCAGTAGACAAAAGTTTTAATACAGTAGCCCTAATAAGGTGTTGATAATGAAAAATATTAAATCTACAGTTTTTCAAAACTTATCCAATCGCCGTAAATATGGCTCAACATTGAAATAAGCAAGTACGAACAAAAAGCAACAACTGACAAAGTGACAACTCACCCGCTGCCGGTCCTGAAAACGAAGAAAAAACGAACGCCATATTGGGTCGTTCGTTGTCAAGGTTAGCACGAGACTGGCAGGATGCGAAACGCACAGAACCTGACCCCCGCCTTCTTTCAGCTTTAGGCGTAGCAGCACGCGAAATGTGCCGACGAATGAGGTGAAGAAGAGGATATCGGTTAGCAACAAAGCCGTTAACCCGTTTTGAATGGAGTAGGGAGACAGCGTGATAAAATTGTACTTCAGATAAGCCTCCATGAAAACGACATCGCCAGTGGGAGCTTACAGTCGGAAACGAATATATTCTAACTCAGAGGGAAAGAGAATGAGCCAGCTGAAGAGGCCGCAAGGCAAAACTCGATACAGTCTCTCATCAACGAAGCGTGAAGGCCCTGGAATCATGAACCTCTGCGGGTGGAAGCTATCGTACTCAGGTGCTGATCTCACGTTGCGCGCTAAGGACAGCGCTGGTGTTCTGGAAGAATCCAACCTGGCTGATGCAATCATTGAATGGAAGCTTGTTAGCGGAAGAATGGCAGTCCTCCGACTGAAGCTACAACGTGCTAACCATTGACCCTATTACAGATCTGTCTGATCAATTTAGAGGGAGAATGAAAATGAGGCTTTCCTTGAGGAAGAGGAGTGCGGTCTGTCCCAAGTGACGATTACGGAATCCCTCATTCTAATGGGGGATTTTAATGCGCATGTAGGAGCAGACACTGAAACGTGGAAAAAAGTGGTCGGACAGAACAGTTCAAACGACATCAACGATAACGGCATTAAGTCGTTACGGTTTTGTGCAAACAACGGACTAACTATTATGAACACCTCCTTCGAGCATCGAAACATGCTTCAGAATATCTGGTTAAGGGAAGCTTGTACACAAAACTAGATGATCGATTTGATGATCGTATCATCTGGCTCAGGACGTTTTGCAATGGATGTTGTTCGGTTAAGAGAGGTGGAGCTGTAAAACAATTATCCTCTAGTTGATGGCAACCTCCGCTAAAATCCTAACAGCGTGTCAAAAGAGAGTCAATCAACAAGATAGAGTTCAATCAATAAAATAAACTGCTTGAAGCTGATCACGGACCGTGAAGACATCACTATGACACGCACTACGTGAATCCCCATCACTAATCGTTTTGGTGCGACTTACATTTACGACGAAATATTTTCAAAAAAGTTTCACGTGAATGGATTGTTCTCTTAAATAATAATAATTAACTCAAATTTTGAAGGTGGTCACTATATTTAATTTTTTAACCATTTAATTTATTGTCTTTAATTTAATTTTTTTCTTTCTTTTAGCACCG